GACCACAACAGAATGTCCAAACCAGTAGACAATCACAGTAATAGAGTGCAGTACAGTAAATGCTGAACATGGTTACTGACTTGGTCTGCTATATCATTTGAAAGTTTGATGATGATTTTTTTGATTTAGCTTGAATCGGAATTGAATATAGATCTCCTGAATACCATTTGAAAACAAACTTGTGAATAATGTTTACCTTCCATAGCTTTCAGATTCTTGTGGGTTTTTTTTGTTTTGAATACCTTGAAATATACATAGTCATGCGGACATAAATTTAGTGATCACCCATGCAACAGCAACTGCATTTTTAAGATTTTCGTCTTGCCTATAGCTGAACATCACAGAGGAGTTTCGTTGTTAAGTTTTTAACATCTTAGAGTGTCGTCAAGTCACCAAATTACATGTGGGATTCTCTGTTTGATGATTGATGATAGATTATATTAATAAAAAATCATTATTCGATGTGAAGAATTTTCCAATAAATGTAGTCTGAGACGTGCACACTTCACTCTTGGTTCTCTTCTGTATCATTATTAGGTTCCTCTGATTTGAATGTATGGGGCAAGGTCTAAACTTTCAGACTAAATTTTTGCCCAAGACACGAAAAATTGAAAAGTCTTTCAACTAAGTGTTGCTAACTATACAATTTTAATGATTCCAATAAAATGTTCACTGTAACAAAATTCTATGGTATTGTGTGTTAGCAATTTTTACAAAATTTGTTGCTCATAAAAAAAATTGTTTTATTGACTTTAAGAAGTATGAAAAATCTGAATTTGTTTCATTATAGGGAAGCAATCCTGAATATTTAGTACTAAACAAAGATGTACCATTGGACAACTTACAACGGCTCCATTCAGAATTAGAAACAAGCAGAAACAAAAAACTTGGAAAAGACACAGCAATCTCACAGATGCCTACTTCTCCATCCGTTGTTGCCCCTACTGCCTCTTCATCTGTTGCTGGGGCAACTGGAATGACTACATCCTCCCAAAATTTTCAGGTCTGTATATTCTGAATTTCTTTGATACTCTCATTATTTAAATAGAATGTGTGGCAGGATGAATACGCCTGGGGATGTGTCTAACTCCTGACCTGATCTGTGCATATTAAATAGCTAATTTGCATGATAATTAACTGCTTTCAGCATAATAACAATTTGCTCACAATGGCACATTGCTAAAATATTGATGGGATGGTCTTTCTGCATAGATTGCTCATACTTTCAGGCAAGTCCCTCTAGGCAGGTGGTCACTATATGTGTTTGACTATTTGAATTTGAGACTGGGTTGAAATTCCACTTGTTTGAACAAAGAATTTTTTTTTAATATTATTTTAGTTTACCTTATCCCTGCCCCCTTCAAACCAAACTCCTAGGCACACAATTTTTTTTACAATTTCCCCTGGCCATATTGATTAACTACCGGGCTAACATAATGTACTACAAAATCAAGTACATTTGATAAGTACTGGGTAAACAGATATAAACATTGTTCATTTCCACCATTAGGTGACAGAGCCTGAATTTTTCCAGAAACTTAGAAATAATTTTGACCATGTACTGATCTATGAAGACAGGTCACTGCAAGAGAAGGCCAGGTCACTGATACCCCTGTCAGAACTCAGTAAAATAGCTGGAGAAAAATTCAAAAATCTCCAGGAAAGTATGAAAGGTAAAGAGAACACCTGCTGTATATTCCACTTGAGTATATTTGAGTTGTGAAGTAAAATATATGTATTCCCACTCAAGGCAGTTTGAGGTAAATTTAAATGTTGCACTGCTGAACATGTTGTTGCATATTAAGTAGCTAATTTGCATATTAATTATCTAATTTCAGACTGTGTATGCAAAATCTCAAAAACTTTAAAGCAAGTTTGGATCAAATTTGGTACATTGGTATGTTTAGACAATGCACAGACATGATTAGTTTTGGGGCCTTGTCTGTGCATATTGAGTACCTAATTTGCATATTAATTATATTTTAGCCTGTGTAAGCAAAATCTCAAATTTTGAGCAAATTTGGTACATAGGTATGTTTAGACGATGCACAAACATGATTAGTTTTGGGGCCTTGTCTGTGCATATTGAGTACCTAATTTGCATATTAATTATCATATTTCAACCTGTGTACGCAAAAACTCAAACACTTACATGTATAAGCAGATTTTGATCAAATTTGGTACAAAAGTAATTCAGGGTAATGTGTAGACATGTGTCAGTCTATTTCCTAGTCTCATTCATGGCCAGTGTTTGAATGGTTTTGGTAGTTGAGTCATGTCACAGTTTTTCTTTTTTTATCGAAGATATCGATAACCTACTTATTTTTTTTAAAGACATTCCAGGTGAGAAAGCACTAGATATGAGAGATTGTCTACTTATTGAAATGATCAACTGGTTCAAAACTAGCTTCTTTTCTTGGATGAACTCTCCGAAATGTGACCGTTGTGGCGGGGAAACAAAACATACCGGTATGGCAACACCATCGGCAGATGATCTGAAATGGGGTGCAAGCAGAGTGGAGGAATATGAATGTAATAATTGTCATCAGTTTGTTCAGTTTCCAAGGTAACATAATGTTCTTCATCATCTATTACTACTTCATCTCTTCAACTGTGTAAATGAAAAATTTGTCTTGATAAAATAATTTCTCATGATACAATGTACATTGTACCTTCCAAAAAGTGACCACAAATACAAATAAGTTTTGACCTGAGCATGATGTACACTAAATATCGAATTAGATTCCTTGAAGTATTATTCAATGCATTCCAATCACCACAGAAATTACATACTGTAAAATACTTTATTTTAGCTGGAATTAATTTTTGCTGAAAAGACTTTTTGCATGTTTTGTATGGAATTTATTTTTACTGATTTTTAGCTCCGCTGTCGACTTTGTCGAGCGGAGCTTATCATATGAGTGATTGTCCGTTGTCGTAGTCCATCGTCCGTGTCAATGTTTTACTTTTTCGACTTCTTCTTGAAAACTACAAGCCTGAATGCTTTGATACTTGGTGTATATGTACCTTGGGTA